GCTCAGGACAGGCTGGGTCCCGGATGGAGACTGCGGTTCAGTTTCTGGCGCAGTCAGCCTGAAACACACCAAGCACACACGTGAGTGCCCAGGATCCCACGGGCTGGACACCAGAGGAAGGCGATCATGGCATGACCCTGTGGAGAGTGCTCATCGCTCTCCCTCTCGTGTACAGAGATGAATAAAGAATAAAAGTTTTATGAGGCCAGACAGTGGTAAGCAACTGGACTTGCATGGAAACATCTCAGGTTCGGGTCCCAGGGCCTCCTACATGTACCAGGCACACATGTGTGTCCACGATCTGGGCTAAGGCAGGTGTGAGGGTCCTGTGGGGGTGCCTGTCTCTCTCATGAAATAAATACACTTTTTTTTTTCTTAATTTGCTAGAGGCCACACGCACTTGCCAGAGAGGGTGAGAGAGAGAGAAAGCGGTTGCCGTGGGGGATGATCACACCATAATCCCTTCTCCTCCAGTTCTCCTTTTGGGAATGTGTACACACACACACACAAACACACACACACACGCACACACACACACATTCAGTGTTACTATCAAGCCATCAGGTCCGAGACTCACACCGTGCTGTCGGCCATGTGGGACCCAGCCAGCTAAACCACCATGCCACTGGCTGGCCCAAAAAACAAAACTTTAAAAGAGGAAACGCCAGGGGTCAGTCAGGGGCGTGGTGGTTAAACAGGCTGGATCCCACATGGTCATCTGTGCAGTTCCAGTCTCACACTTGGTGGTTTGAGAAGCATGCCAGGTATGTGTACATGCCCGAAATGCCAAGAGAAAAATGGAGAGGGACTGTGGCGTGGCCATCCCGGGCAGGGAATGGTGCTTGCTCACCTTCTCTCTCCGTCTGTTTTTCTCCAGTGAGCACACATGCCCTGTGGCAATTTTTTTTTAAAGATTTACTTTATTGGGAACCAGCAGTTAGCGTAATGCTATGTCGCTGGACTCCCACGTAGTCGACCGCAGTTCGCGTCCGGGACCCGGTGGCTTAAAACTCACAACAGGTGCGTGTGCGTGCGTGCCCAAGATCCCAAGAGGAGAATGGAGGAGAAGGGATTGCGGCGTGGCCATCCCCCCTGGGGGGTGATTTCTCACTTTCTGTCTCTCTGTCTCTCTCTGTCTGTCTGGCGAGCGCACGTGCCCTATAGCAAAAAAAAAAAAAAACCTCTCCAAAAAGAAAAAAAGATTTACTTTATATAATTTTGTTTATTTATTCATTTATTTTAATTTGACCAGAGAGAGAGACAGAGAGAGAGGGAAAGAAAACAAGCCATCAGGTCCAGGACTTGAGCCGTGGTCAGCCATGTGGGAGTGTCCAGTACCCTAACCACCACGCCACCTGCTGGTCCCATGGCAAATATTTTTTAAAAAAGGAGAAAAGTCATAGTTAATCCCTCTCTCACGAGAGAGACACAGAAAAAGAGAGAGATAAAATGCAGGGAAGTACCCCCGTGGGGCTTGGTCGCCAGTCTCTTCTCCACCTCTCCCTCCTTTTGGAATTTTGGGCACAAATGCATGTGTTCCAGAGTGTTTTTCAAGCCACTGGGTCTGGGCCTTGAACTGTGTGGTCAGCCATGTGGGATCCAGGCCCTTTACCACCATGCCTCAGGCTGGGCCCCTTATAAGCAGTTTCTAAACATTGAAAGAACAATGGCAAAGAATAACTAAGGTGATGATGAAGAGTAAGGGAAGGGGGTCACTTTACCAGATACCAAGACTTAACTACGAAAACATGGTATTGTAGGGAGAGACACAACGAGAGCAGAGCGGTCAGGGAAAGATCTGCTCCTCCGTGGAGACCTGGTGTAGGACAAGGGACAAGGGCAGCTCCCCATTCGGGAACAAAGGGCCCTGAGGATGAGGCACTCTTTTTTTTTTTTGAGAGGTTTTTGCGATAGGGCGCGTGCACTCGCCAGACAGACAGAGAGAGAAGAGACAGAGAGGCAGAAAGTGAGAAATCATTCCCCCAGGGGGGATGGCCACGCCACAATCCCTTCTCCATTCTCCTCTCGGGATCTTGGGCACACACGCACACACGCCCGGCGTGAGTTTTAAGCCACCGTGTCCGGGACACGAACCGTGGTTGACTAAGAGGGAGTCCAGCGACACAGCCATTACGCTAACTGCTGGTCCCACGATGAGGCACTCTTCCTTCCCACGAGGAAAGGTGAGGTGAGTTTCTGCCCACACACCTGGATGCTGGCTGTCAAGATTCATCATTACAGATACTAATGGCCTGTGCCCTTTTCTATAGTCAGAGTATTTGTTAATGCCTTTTTTTTTTTTTTTTTTTTGCTGTAGGGTGTATGTGCTCACCAGAGGTAGAGAGGGGGAAAGTGAGAACTCACCCCATGGGGGATGGCCACACTGCAATCCCTTCTTCTCCGGTCTCCTCTAGGGATTTTGGGCATGCATGCATGCACACATGTCCGGCATGAGTTTCCTTTTCTTTCTTTCTTTTTTTTCTTAAACATTATTTATTTATTTACTTATTTTCTTTCCTTTTTTAAAAATATTTTTATTTATTCATTCATTTATTTTAATTTGACCAGAGAGAGGGGGGAAAGTGAGAAAGCAAGCCACCAGGTCCAGGGCTTGAACCATGCTCAGTCATGTGGGAGTGTCCAGTGTCTTCACCACCATACCCCCTGCTGGTCCCCCTATTTACTTATTTTCAATTTGACCAGAGGAACAGTGCACACGTGAGAAAGAAAGAGAGAGAGAGAGAGAGAGAGAGGTGAGAAAGCAAGCCACCAGGACTTGAACCGCAGTCAACCATGTGGGAGTCCAGCGCCCTTAACCACCACATCTCCTGCTAGCCCCTAAACAAAGTAATTATTTTATTTTATTTTTTAAAATTTAACTTTATTTATTTATTATTTTAATTTGACCAGAGAGGGACAGAGAGAGAGAGGGAAAGTGAGAAAGTAAGCCACCGAGTCCAGGACTTGAACTGCAGTTGGCCATGTGGAAGTCCATCGTCCTTAGCCACCATGCCACCTACTGACCCCAACAAAATAATTCATTTTTTTTTTTTGAGAGGTTTTTTCACTATAGGGCGCGTGCGCTCGCCAGAAAGACCGAGAGAGACAGAGAGACAGAAAGTAAGAAATCAACACCCAGGGGGAATGGACACCACAATCCCTTCTCCTCCATTCTCCTCTTGGGATCTTGGGCATGCACACACACACGCCCGGCATAAATTTAAGCCACCGGGTCCGGGACTTGAACCGCAGTCGACTACATGGTTCCAACAAAATAATTCTTAAAAAAAAAAAA